CAATGAACACTTTTTGTAAATATCAATCAGGTTGGTATCCTATATTTAATTAAAATTGTTACTTACACAACAGCCTAAATTAGCAGAATTTATTTTTAACAGCTTGCTAAATAGGTACCTAACAATTTATTAGATTTGTATAAGGAGTAAGGTAAATTTCTTTTTACATGTATAATTAAAACAATGGTTATCTGGAAAGCTCTTCTCGGTACTTTTCGTTGTTTTTAAGGCCAGTTCATGCAGTATTTGCACATTGTCAATATATAGGTACTTAATCCATTTAAAAATCCACTAGCTCAAGCGGATTAGCAGCTGCACATAAGGTAAATCTAAAAATTTTTTTTTTTTGTTATTAAAATAATTTATTTTCATCATATAAAACTAAAGTAATTTTATGTTTTACTTTTACCAATAAACGTTTATAATTGTAATACATCTATTTCATTCTAAACAAACTAAACGCGATTACAATGTTATGGTATGGACCCATTGCCTTTTTAAGTACTCAAAGAATGTATCACTTTATTTGTAAAATATTTTTAATACTAAAATATTGACAAATTAAGAAATGTAGGTAACAATGGTTCACTAACAAAACAATGTTGTCTCCGACGCTGCTCAAACTATTTAAGTAAGCACTTCTCCAGGAAAAAAGAAAGTCGGAAATTCTGCAATTCGTCGTCTTTTGCAGGACAAACTTTGGATTCTTTATATTTTTCTCGTGATATCTGATTATTTTTTTATTATTGTTTGTTTATTCATTGGCAGTACAAATTGTTCAGTAAAATCTTTCTTCTTCTGACAGCTCTTCACAACCTCAAACGCTTCTAATTTTTCAGCGAGACTCAAAAGTGTTTAACTAGCGTTTCACAGCTCTCTTTTTCAATTTTTATTAGTAAACTCTTATAACGGTTGACGTGTGTTGAAGTAGAACCTAACTACATCTGACAACATTTACCAAGCATGTAAACACCGTGTTACTGTGAGTCATGTGATATTCCTATTTTAATTTATTGTATACTCCTAAATTGTTTTTAGGAAACTTAAGGTGTACTCTAGGTCCATTGTCAGTAAATTCTTAAACTCGTTTACTTATTTCTCTTCGAACTAAAAAAGTTATAAGTTTCAGATAATCGCTTTGTAAAGGTTGTAAAGTTAAAACATCGCTATGGTCGACATACACAGGTATAATTAATTTTTTGGGTGTAATGGAGGGAAATGTACCAAAATGGCTTGGAGTGCTCACATATTACCAAAATGGCTTGCAGGACTAATAGAGGGTTCAGATTTCGAGTAATTTAGGTGTTGGTGTTAGAAGGAAAGGGAACAAAACATTTCTTCCAGATTTGACGCATAAACCCTTTTATTTTAGGTTTTATCACAAATAAAAAAGAATAACCGGAAAACCCGGTTAACCTGATTTTTAAATAGATAAACCTAAATAAACCGGTTTTGGTGCCCGGTTTTTGCGTGACCTACATATTACTAAGCCAGTTCTTAGTACCTTGTAAAAAAAAAATTGGATCAGATCAAACGCGCTCACTAGGCCCAGTGTAGGTCCCAATGCAGATTGGTGGTACTAAATGACATATATTCCTAATGGATGAATCCAAACAGCTTTCCTCACTAGACCCAACTGACCACAGATATTCATAATGGATGACATCAGTCTACCCAGTAATTCGTACTGGAACAATGTATCTTAATCACCGCAATCATAGATCAAAGCAATCACAGAATGCTAACTACTACACCATCAAGCTATTCCCTTTTTTATATAGAAGTGAAATTGCCATATTTTTATCAGATTTGATGATTTGGTAATATTAATACGCGGGCAACTGATATCGCTCTTCGATTTCTTGAAGAGAAAATGGAAAGTAGACGGTATCGCAGACCATGGGGGCGATTTAACCCTACAAGGCTCAATTTTTTTTTTGGTTGTGGAAAAAATATATATGATGTAATTAGCTGTTAGTAGTTAGGAAAAAATATATAAAAAAATAATAATCCAATATTTTACAAGAAAATCATTTTTTTCTTTCAGTTCCATATATGGTACACTGAGCCTTAACTATACTATTTCGTACTGAACTACAATAAACGTAGTAATTAGGAAACAGTATCTTATATTAATTATCACGAGCTTTTTTTATTTTATAATTATTGACATAATAAAGACTGTACATTACAAAGTCTGAAACAAAATGAAATAAGAAACAATTATGTTTAAAAAAGCTACTTATAAAAGTTTCAGAAACAATTATTATCTTTATTCAGGCAAAGTTCTGCGTGACAAATTCTCACAAGAAATGAAGTCTTCCTTTGCAACCAGGCTATTTATATCTTTGTCTTTTTTCACCCCAGACCGGGAAAAGCTCAAACCTTTCACGTCTGACGTCACGAGGAGGTAGGATTGCAGTATTGGGCTTCTTTCTTTTCTTCTCAATTCCTTCATACGCAAAGCCCAAACATACATAAACTTTTGCCTACCTCAAATTAGAACTTCTTTTGTTTTAGTGGAACTCGCATATTATTCTGTTCCCCAACTCTTTTGTACAATAACCAGCTATTGATCAAAGAAATATCAAGAAGATGATATAATAGTCTCAACCACAAAAAATATCGAAGGGGTGTTTCAAAGTGTATAATTGGTGAATGTAAACTTGTGTCTTCAGTAAACGGAAAATGAGGTGAATGAAAATGTATTTTTCTCCAAAAGAATCTCCTTTTATTTCTTATGGCAACAGACGTAGAACCAAGTGTTTTAGTTGATGATCCCCTAAATGCCCGTAATTGTGTTATGGTACTTGTAGTTGTCCCTGATGTGCTAGGCTGCAGGTCTAATATTTCAGGCCTTCACAACATGAACATCCTCGTTGGCAGGAGACAAAGATAGTCTTTGCGGCGGCAATGAAGTTTCCTTGTCGCTAAGTGATTTCGATATCAGCTTTTGGAATAACTGTAACTTCCAGCGTCAGAAAATCCTCCTCATGTTCACTCCCAGAAGGGATATTCAAGAAATCTTCAATTTCGTCACTACACAATCCTCTTCGCGACATAATCTATAAAAGACAATAAAATAATAGTAATTATTTGGCGTAAGTACGAAATAGTAAAACGAGCACGAAAGCTCAACGTACCGTATCTGGCACATAGATAAAATGACGATTTCTAATACTATTACTACAGTAATATAAAAAAATAACTTACCTCTGCATAATATACACTCCCTTATTTCTCACTTAATTTTTTTGGACTCAGAACTATGCGATTACTATTTTTTAGAAATTGGTGAAATCACGAGAGTTGTTAACGTAAAACTTTTACTCAATTTTTTTGCCAAACTATCTAAACAGGAAGCAGTGGCAACATATATGCGCAATGCTTTGTATTATTTTGTTGCTAGATATCCAACGGTTGTGTTCGGATTGATAATAGATGTCGCTGCACGTTTTTCATCGCTGTAGGGACGATATAAATGGTTGTCCCACATATGGTACTGGGGGCCTTGTAGGGCTAAGACTGTTATTGACAGATTGTGCAATCTCATGAGTAAACGTCTCTATTAAAAGTCTCACTCAATTAAAATGTTATTGTCTACCTATTAAAAAGGGACAAATAGACTCTGTACTTGATATCTCGCTTGGCATGATTCAGCTGGGAGAACTCTGTTCTGTTATATAGTACGTAGTAGTAAGTCCATGTTTAGATTATACAAATTCCAACTTGTTCCCAGTTTTCAAAGTATATACGTAATAATAATTTATTTTCCATTAATTGATGTTATAGGAAATAAATTATTTTAAAATATAGGCATTGCTCAGTAGTACAAAACATTATTTAAGAAATGATTATTATGCAAATCATATATAACATAAACTTTTTTGTTCACTACGTAACGTTCCAAAAACAGTTAGTGCCTCGATCCTGTTATTCTTAAAAAAAAATGTCGTGGCCAAGTTAGAGCTGAAAATGATAGACTATAATTTTCCACAACAGTATTTGTTCAAATGTTTTACATATTTTATGTTTGTTTACATTACACTACTAGAAATCGTTGAAACTTGGATGCATTGTTTCGACTTTCAAAAAGGTTGACATTTGATTATTTTTGCTTGTGTAGCTGAACTGAATCAATATGACTGTTTTTGGACATATCCAGGACTCAGCATTTACTTAGCGCCTAAATTTGTCAATAAATAAAGATTTGTATTGAATCTTTTCGAATAAACTTGTCAATAAAGAAATCATGCACTCACGACATACATACAAATCGATTTTCCATATTATAATTAATAATTAAAAAATAGGTAATCTATTAACGAATTTCTTTGTTATTGTCGCTATTAACTGTCCGATGACATGTGTCAAAAGGGACCTCTAATTTTGTGAAGACTTAAATGTTGATTACCGATACGTCCAGTCATAGAGAAAACTATGTTTATATCTATATTTTAACTATATTTTCTTTGTTTAAATTTTCTCTGTCATAAAAGATTGTTTTATTTTATTTTATAAAATACGTTATATGTTTACTCCACAGCCATTTATTTGCTATAATGTTTATATCCATAAAAACTACAGAGACAATATAGTTAAACTTCGAGAAGAAAAAGTTATATACTTTTGCATTCCTAAACGAAACGAATGATTGCCATGAGAATAATACAATTAAAGGTAAAGGGTAATTTCGAAATTCTGGTGTCAATTAAATTACAAAATTTATTGTATTGATTGAACCATATCAATCAGAGTTTCAGTTATATGTTAGACCTTCTATTTTTCGTCCAATATGAAGAGTTGCAAAAGGTCAATACTACTTTATTGAGGTTCTAACAGACTATTGCTGTAAATTTCTCAATATTATATACTAGGTTTTTATTGAAATAACTAATTAGACCAAGTAAATACATATGTAATCAGCCCGTATTTTTGTTAATAAAGAAAATAGGGTAATTTAGTAAAGATACCATCCTTTTCACGTGGGGTAAACCAGTTTTTGATTATGGAAACACTAGTGGCCCGCCACGTTTCGCCAGTCTTGTTAGTTGTCCACTCGTCAGTAATTTTTAACTTCGTATCCGTTTAGCACGAAAACAAAGCCATATATTTTAAAAATGAGTGCTCCAGCACCAACTCCTGCCTACAAAATTGGAATAGTAAAGCAGGTAATACATCAATCCTTTGATATTTTAATTCATAAACTGCAGTGACCATACCTCGTGCCAATTTCATACAATTTGCCCTGTTGGCACCACACCATGTTACTAGTTGGATAGTTGACCATAATAATGTGCGAGTTGATCCTATGTTAACTTAATTAGTTTGATTAAACGTGGAAATACCGTATGCTGCTGATTATAGTACTTAAATTTTTTATGTCAATTGACTTTAAGGTATTGGTATGTGTATTAGGGTCGCGGTGAAATAAGAAGATATTATAGGAATTGCCAACTATCTAGTTCAAATTCCATATGGTAAACGTATAAATGTAATATTGCTTTTACAGGTGTTATCTGGAGATACTGTGGTGATCAGGAGACAGCCCCAGGGGGGGCCGCCACCAGAGAAAGTGATTGCTCTATCTGGCATCACCGCGCCTAAGCTCGCTCGTCAAAGAACAGCTAACAAGTAAGTAAACTATATTAAATACTTATAATTATAAATTTAACAGAAAATGTTAAAACTTTGATAATGTCTCACCAGTAACCAGACTAACTAATTTAGAAATAACCTTACCTGACTCTCTAAAAGAAACTTGTCTATGATATTTATTTAATTCATTAAATCTGAAATATTTTATTTTTCCTCATGAAATATTATCATGACAAAAAATGAATGTTAATGTTTAAATAAATTACACAAAAGTGAAAGTAGGTAATGTGGTAAGCAATGTGGCCTCACTACATTTAGTCAATTTATTACCAATAAGACTTGGTGATTTGTTACTTAATCAGCAACTGCGAATTAACATTATCTAACAAAATTTTTATATCTGCTTGTCTTTTATCTTTATTAAGTAATTAAATGTTATGATAAAAGTGATAGATCAACAATGTATTCCCGAGTGCATAGTAACATTATCTGTTACTTATAAAATTTACTTTTCTAATGTTTCTATATAATTATAATGGTATGTGTCTATTGTATGCATTTTTTTTAATTTAAAATACATATAATTACAAAATATTCAGGCAGTAAAGTTCTTAAATCAATTATAAAATATAAATAAACTCCTGAAAGTTGTTTAAAAAAAAACGGTAAATTATTATATTATGGTAATTATAATATTAATCTACGTCCTTTTCTTAGTATGTTTACACTTCAAATTAGACTAAACTAAGCTATGGGCTAGATAATGTCATTATTAGTTTAACTTACTTTATAGTAAGTGTGATGCTACATAGAGTGTATCATTGCTACACCTACCAACATTACATTAGAGTAGAAAGTACTATTTTTTTTAAATCTTATTTATGTATAAATTTACTTAGGAAAATCTTAGTTATTATAATGTGCGTTTATAAGAGTTATTATTCAAAAAAAAATTATATATTCTGCTCTTAAGAACAATTTTGGTTTTGCGGGTTACTACATGTTTGCTTTCCAACATATAATTCCAACACTGTAAAGAGTGTTGTTCAATCAGGGTTTCAGTACATGGAGTTAACATTGTATGTATAGCATAAAAGTCATCTTGTAACTAAATTATAAATAATATATCATAATTTCTATTCATTATAAGGAAATGAAACTATTTATGTTTCATATAATTATGTTTATAAATAAAATTTTCAATAATTGCTGCAAAAACATTACATTTATCTTTTTGTATTATGTTAATTCTTAATTTCTAAATCAAGGGTATAATCGAATTATCGGTTGAAGCAAAAATTTTGACATAATTATTTACAAAATTTTAATAGAGAATTATAAAATTTGGTATGTTAGAGTTTATATGGTGGAAAAGTCCAAATACATTATACATAAAAAATACACAATACCTTATGTTTCACACTTTATGACATTCAATAAAACAATCATAAAACATCCAATCTTTATTGTTCAATTTCGAAAGTTGCATTAAAATAGATTCATACCATTGAGCAATAATAATTAAATAATGTGTACATCTATCATATCTAATGTAGCTATGGGTATCGGAATCTCAATAATTATTTATTAGTTATATAAATATTGTATTAATAATTGTATATTTTATTGTATACTTACTAATAAAATTCTATCATTCAGGTTTTATTCAGGTTACTTAGAATAAATGTATAACACTATTAGATGATAATTTCATATGAATAGATTATATCTTCATCAATAACTAAAGACATTTAGTTGCTATTAAGCGAGTTTATAATTTGCCATTTAGAACTGCAAAGCGAATTAAAATATACAAATTAGAAATTAATTATCTAAAAATCACATTGGTTTCGTAATTTAATGAGGTTGAATATCCAACTTTGTAATTATAATTAGTATTATTTCTTAATATTATCATAAAATTTTTCATGATCTAATATATTTAGATTAAAGATAATATAGTTAGCTAACTACAATTTTGTAGTTATTATAAAATTCAGGTGAAATATTATTGGAATTACAATACATAAAACATGATAACTACATATATTATAAACCGTTTTATACAGTAATAGCTATTTTAAGTTATATATAACAATATTTTACATAAGTTCTACAATTAGCACCTCAAACCTAAGTGAAGATTTCACAAATAACAATAAGTAATTTTTTTTTTTGATTATTTGAAATCAACAATGGTATTACTTATTTAAAAATAAGAAATACATATTAAATAATTAAAATATTTTTTTATAGTGACAATGAATCAAAAGACGAGCCTTATGCATGGGAGGCACGAGAATATCTCAGGAAGAAGCTTGTTGGTAAAGAAGTCATTTTCACGGCAGAGAAGCCACCAAACTCTGCAACCAGAGAGTATGGCTCCGTGTGGGCTGGCAAGGATCCTACTAAAGATGAGAATGTGACCGAGGGTCTACTTGCGGAAGGTTTAGTTAAAGTAAGAGAAGGCGGAAGAAATATCCCACAACTGAAACGATTGGTAGAGATTGAAGATGTTGCTAAATCACAAGGAAAAGGCATATGGGGCTCAGATCTTCAGGTATGTATATAATTCTATTTTATATTATAGCTTAAATTATGTTTAATATATCTATATGTTTTACATTACTGTATAATCAATGCAGGAGCATGTTCGTGACATCAAATGGAGTGTTGAGAATCCTAAGCAATTTGTAAACAAGTTCAATGGGCAACCTGTGAAAGCCATCATTGAATATGTGCGTGATGGTTCCACAGTTAGATTGTGTCTGCTACCTGACTTCTGCCAAGTCACTTTGATGTTATCAGGAATAAGGGTAAGGAATCTCTGACGCATTTATTTAATGCTTTTGATAAGAGTGTTGTTGATAATCCTTTCTAATATTTCAGTGTCCTGCTGTAAAACAAGATGGTGAATCAGAGCCCTATGCTGAAGAGGCTAGGTTCTTCCTAGAATCAAAGCTCCTTCAAAAGGATGTTGAAGTTATCCTTGAGTCTGTAAACAACAACAATTTTGTTGGAACTATTCTGCATCCTCAAGGCAACATTGCAGAGGCGCTACTTCGGCAAGGTTTCGCAAGATGTGTTGATTGGTCCCTTGCTGTCATGAAATCAGGTTGGTAAAGACACAATTTTATGTATGACACATGTCTATAATATTACCAAGTTAGTGATTCTTATTAGAATTATGCAACTAGCTAGAAATCATTTTTATTTTTGTTTTAATATATATAATGTATAAATGTATACTAAACATACATAAAAACGAATGTCTTTATGACAGAAACCCATCTTGTTAACGAGTACACTATACTTCTTTGCTTTTGTTCAGGTGCATCTACACTTAGAACGGCTGAACGTGCTGCAAAGGACGCAAGACTTAGAATCTGGGCTAATTACATCAGTAACGCTCCCGTGATCGCCGCTAAAGACAAGGAATTCTCTGCAACTGTCCTAGAAGTTGTCAATGGTGACGCTTTAGTCGTCAAAATGCCCAATAACACTCAGAAGAAAATATTCCTGGCTAGCATTCGTCCCCCACGTGAAAAGTAAGATTGTGTGAAAACCTTTTAAAACCTATTATAATCTTAGAAAATTTAAGGCTTAATATAAATGTTTAAAATGTTAAGACTTTAAAAGTAATCCATTAATCAATCTTTTCATTTTAGGAACAGCCCTGATGAAGAAGGTAAGCAGTCTCCTAGGCCAAAAGGATTCAAGCCTCTTTATGACATACCTTGGATGTTTGAAGCCCGTGAATTTCTCAGAAAGAAACTTGTTGGGAAAAAGATTAGTGTTACGGTTGATTATATTCAACCTGCAAAGGACAACTTTCCTGAAAAGACTTGTTGCACTGTAGTTGCTGGTGGAGTGTAAGTAAACTGTCTTGAGAATATTGTATAACATTATTTTTATATTTATCTTAAAGTGACATTATCTTTAATTGTTAATATTTATAAATGAATTTATTTACAGAAATATGGCAGAGGCATTAGTTGGCAAGGGCTTTGCTACAGTTGTAAGATATAGGAATGATAATGACCAGAGAAGTTCACACTATGACAAACTCCTAGAAGCAGAACTTAAAGCACAGAAAGCAGGTATCGGTGTTCATGCCAAGAAAGACATCCCCGCTCACCGTATTCAAGACACAAGTGGTGACTCTGCTAAAGCAAAGAAGTTCTTCCCATTCCTGAAGAGGGCTCAAAAGACAGAGGCTACTGTGGAATTTGTCGCTAGCGGGTCACGTATGCGACTGTACATTCCCAAAGAGTCTGTCCTTGTTACATTCTTACTGGCAGGCATTAACTGTCCCAGAGGTGCTCGCCCTGCTGTGGGTGGCGGTGGAATGCAAGATGCTGAACCGTTCGGCGAAGAAGCCCTACAATTCACTAAAGAGAAATGTTTACAGCATGATGTAATTGTTACAATTGAAGAAATGGACAAAGCCGGCAACTTCATTGGTTGGCTCTGGATTGATAACGAGAACCTGTCAGTATCATTAGTGGAACATGGTCTCGCGTCGATGCACCATACAGCTGAAACGTCAGAGTTCGCTCGCCCAATCAAAAATGCTGAGGAAAATGCTATCAAGAAACGCCTCGGAATCTGGAGAGACTATGTAGAAGTAGAAAAAGAATCTGAAAAAGAAAGGAATGCGCCCGTTCAAGACCGCATCATCAAATACGAGAAGGTCGTCATCACTGAAATCACACCTGAAGGCAATTTTTATGCTCAAAATGTCGATTCGGGCACAAAGCTAGAAAGCCTCATGGACAAAATCCATCAGGAGCTCAAAACTAATGCGCCATTACCGGGTTCTTACGTTCCCAGGCGTGGCAACATTTGCGCAGCTCGTTTCACTTTGGATGACCAGTGGTATAGAGCTAAAGTAGAGAAGGTTACTGAAGATAAGAAAGCTCATATCTTCTACATTGATTATGGAAACCGTGAGGTAATTTTAATATTATTTGTAATTGCGATAGAAACATCTGTGATTGATGATTTAAGATTTATAGGGCCTTCACACTATTGCCCATAATAGACAATCACTGAATGCCACCATGATTGTAACCATCGTTGCGCCGATGTCGACATAATCGTCTATCCCTCATTTGTTAATTGCCATCTGAACTCTACGTCGAAACAAGAATCCAGATTGTCCTTTTAGTATAATTTTATAAACATAAACATTATAAGGTCTCCCTCGGCTACGACATTTTAGCATCGATTCTGTATCGTAAAAACATACGAACTTAGTCATCGGCGATTATGTGGACACGCGCACAATCATGGATAAACTTCCTTTGATGATTATCCCAAAAACCGAAAGTGGTGATCATGGACGATTAGCGCCTATCATAGGCCATTATAAATGATTATGGTATTTTCACAATAGTGATAGCCTATGTTCGCTCATCGTGGGCCATTGTGTGGAGCCGGTGTTATACAAACCACGCTTAAATAATTAAAATACATATTTCTTTATTATTGGTAGATTGTAAGTGCGACCAGATTGGCTCCACTCCCGGCTGGAACCGAAACGGAGCCAGGATATGCGAACGAGTATTCTCTTGTTTGCGTGAAGTTCCCATCTGATCCGGACGATAGATCGGAAGCGGTCGCCGCCTTCTCAGCGGACACACTGAACAAGAAACTCTTGTTGAACTTAGAGACTCGCGGCTCTCCGCCCGGCGTCACGCTCGTTGACCCCGCCACTAATATCGATCTCGGCAAGGTAACATAAATATTATCTACCCTTACATTTTTAACTGCTCTAAAATTAAAAATGGTACATACACAGTCATAAACATATTTGCTCTGCGTGAGTCCGTGCTTGTTTCACCTTATATCAAATTTTAGTTCTATCAACTAGCCAAAATGTATAAACACCGCGGGCATCGTATAGCACATAATTTTTCTCATATACACTTTGTTTTACTGTGTGCTTAAGCTCTGGTCTGTACCTTCACATAATCCTTACTATGTATATGATATGTCTTCTATTTGTGACTATAACATCCAAACCTCTTGGGTAAACATATTTATATTTATTTATTTGTATTTATCATATTTTCTGTTCACACCACATCCGAGGTGCACAGAGACAAATTCAGTTTCATAATGCATCTTTCGCTTTCTCGACATTTATCACTGTTTGCCCAAATACATTTGAGAGAGATTATTATGCTATAACATAATAGATATAACACCGGCAATGAATAAATATTATTATCTTTTTGTTAGAACTTGATAAAGGAGGGCCTGGTGCTAATGGAAAGCTTACGCGACCACCGACTGTCCGGTTTAGTTGCGGAATATCGTGCCGCCCAAGAGCACGCGAAGAGTTCCCGCCTGAACCTATGGCGGCATGGAGATATCACTGACGACGACGCGGCAGAGTTCGGAGCGCGTCGCTAGCGCGAACTAACGTGGTACGACGCCACCGCATTGCCATCGCATACGCTCAACTGTGCCACCTGCACAGCACCTCACATGGAAACAATTATATATGCAATCATCTATGACTTTCTGTGAAGGCAACAAAGACATTAACCCCATCCAAAATCCCTTATCAGAAGTGAAATTAGATTTTAACATACCGCTTCATAGTGTTATCGCTGTAAAAAATACAATATATTTATAATTGATAAATAGCAATTCGTACTCTTCTATGTAATGTTATATAACAGGGTTGTAAATTTCAATTCTGGTTTAGAGACGTTTCTGTGACTGGCTTTCTGGATGTTAAATAAATAGTTTTTAATATAAAACACTTCTCAGTAATATAAAAATTATCATGAATTATTTGAAGAGTTCTAAATGTTGTGAATATTAATATTGTGTCTATTAATATGAAATATTATAATTGGTAGTTTTCCCAACTGTTATAGAAGAATATTTTAAATGACCATTGTCTTGTTTCATAATAAGTGCTTTTAAATACAGCAGTGCCCGAAATATGGTGTTCGAGATATAATAAAATAAATATAATAAACGTGGATTTTAGCCCTCAGTAATATCATGATTACATAGTTTAAATTAATGTGTAAATTATTTGATTATTGACATAATAATTATAGTATTAAATATATTATATATACATATTTGTTTTCATGACTAATATATCAAATGAAAATAAATTTATATTAATGTGAATTGTTAAAAGTAATTTTTTTACAGTTTGTATATCAGCAAATGTTTTTTTTTTTTATATTTCGTTGTTGATTTCACTATTTATTTACAATTACACGTTTATTAGCCAAATATATCAAGAAATTATGTTAATTAGCATTTGTCCATATTATTTAGCTTGTCTTGTTGCTTGCTTCATAGATTGTACATTTTGTACCAACGCACTTAATACATTATTGATTTAGCGTAGCATTATAGATACAGCTATCACGGACCTCCCTATTTTAAAAACTTCGTAATTATTATGGCTTTTTCTATATATATATATATATAGGTAAACTACTGTTTTGACAAATATTTGTTAAATAAAACCAACGAGGTAAAAATTTACCAATTTAAACAGAAATTCTCATTCCAATAGTAGTTCATTTGTATCTTCAAAGAATCATATCCCGCAATATACCTTATTACACTCTCTAGCGTTATGAAATGTTATCTCAAAGCAAGTAATCTCTGAAATGTAAATAATAACAATTTCTAATGTAATTTTCGTTATAAATCAAATAAAGTCAAATTAATAAACTCCCATTACAATTAAAAAAAATTCAAACGCTAATGATGGCTTATGAATCCCAATGTTTTGAAAGTACACACTCGTTGGTTGTTATCTCCTTAAATTAATGAAATGCTACCTCTCTATCAGAGATGTTTATTATGATAAAATTTTATTCACAGACAAAGTACCATACGGTGGATTGTTAAACGAACTTGGTATATTGAAATAAATATTTTAGGAAATAATCGTGTTTTCTTTATAAGGATCTTTCAAATAAAACAAAGTTAATAGTATAAAAATATTTTTAATATTGTAGAAATAACGAATAGTAACTGTTTCTGCGCAATATAGGAGATTTATTTTATGTACATTAGCAAAAACCAAAATGAATTTTGGCACAACTTGAAATGCAAGATTGTAGTAGGTTTACCATTGCAGTGTTATGTAACGCAAATAAAGAGATAATTATTTTTCTAAATATATTTGACTAACGGCCAGTCTCTGAATTGAGAAAAGTACGAAATCTCAACTGATTATTCTCAATAACTTAAGTTTTTTACGTTTCACATCGCAGGAAGTCTTAGTTATATAAGTGATATCAACTGATGACTAAAAAAATTGAAATCAGAAACGAAAAACTAAATTCTCAATACAGAAACCGGGTGTTAATGAAGAGACGTCCGTCAGGCTGGCAGCGCCACGCTTTTAGGTTTTGAAATGAATTCCCGGCCCGAAAATCATAATTATATGATGTCTACTTAAAGTTAAAAGAAAAAACGAGCTTCACAATTCTTCATAGACATTATAGGCTACTATGAGATGGATATACTTCAAAATACGTAATTGATATTAAAGAAAAATATCGTGCACTATAAAATAGCTAAGGAGGTAAATTGAAGTCTTAGTGGCGCTGCTGGGCTGACTTCAATCTGGCAGTGCCACAGCTAGAAACTATTCTTATTTATCAGTCTGGACCAGTGGCGATTCATGGGCTGGCTAAAGTTAATACTCGTCTCGTGTCAGTCTGGCAGTGCCACGCCATTTTTCTAAACTATAGCGCTTTAAAGCTCACTTTTTTTAAAATCTTAAAACATTGAAACTTGACATCCGTCGAGTAATCACTAAGATACCAAATCGAATAATCTACGCTCATTATAAAGAAATACTGATTTAAGGCGATAAAACCTAGAACAGAATAATCACGACTTCTATGAGCGAAGGTCAATAACTCCTCTTAACATTTACGAGGGTGGTGCTGCCACACTGATGAACACTCCAAATAATTCTGATACGGCAGGGTTTCTCAAATTGGGGTTCGCCATTCGACAGTAGGGGGTTCATGGCAAGAATAACTTAATGGTGGCTTGATCATTTTACGATGAACGTTGAAATTGTACAAAATCCTTAATAAATTAGACTCCAACTTGCGACAAAAAGCATTAACATTACATTAACAATTCGTTCGAGCCAATAATTGGGATGCAGACATGTTTTTATAACCACAATGATTTTATTGCCACACCAATACATAAATCTTGACATGATAATATTTCGGGATGACCCGAATTCGAGAATCCCTTCCGGGTTACATTTCATTTCATAAATCTATACTACTATTTTTGTATTCTATTTCTCTAATAGACAAAACTGTCCCTATGACTGATGGAATATTTTTGTTTAAGTAAATACTAGATAACGGCACTATTACAATTGCTTTAGATATTATTTTCTTTATAAAGGCAAATATTGGAGCGGATATTTTTGTCGTAAAGCTATGTAGGTAGGTATTATTAGTAAATACTGATTTTTATTTATCCCGCACACTCAAAATGATTGTACAAATAAATGTTACATCTATTACAAAGGTGATTCACATAAAAAATTGTACGAAGAGCTCGTGATAAAAATGTACAAGAACTTTCTAAAGTTATAGAATTTTTCGTATTTTAACTTATCTAGCCGCCGCCATGGGTGCAATCGCCTAACCCTCAAGCTATATGATACGACATCTTATCGATGTTATGGCGGTATTTGGATTAATTTAACATTTACTTTAGTGAGAAGAACGAACGACAAGAAATGGCGATTATGGATTTAATAGTGGTCTTGCCAACTTAGTCATTTATCTACCAAAAGACATGTCAAAGTAATATCATGAAATGAAACATCGACACAACATGACTAATGCTCAATCCATATGTACCCACTTACACCCTTAGTACTTCAACATACTGAAATATCAACCTTTAAAAAGCTCTTGCACCATTTTTAGGTCACGACCTCTTAGACTTTTTGTAAATATAGCAATTTTAAATCAGCTATTATACATTTTTATCAGACCCTAATATAAGAAGCTAAGCTACTCTGCAATTATCGAAATTTGGTGCACAGAAACAACGTGTAAATTTCTTCTTCTTGGAAATAAACAGAATACGTCAGAATACAATTCAATGTGTCTAGCATTACTAACATTTAAACCCTTCATGTAGACTCATACGAACCTTGTCCAGAAGGGGTGAATACTCTGCGAAACATCACATGTATGATGCGCGCACACTTGAGGACGAATTCGGTTAAAACAAACAGGAACAATAAATAAATATACTCGATTAAATTTCTGTTCACACTGTTATACTCTCTTCCAAAAATATTTTTTAAGAAAAACGTTTATAAAAATTTACCCTCTATCGCATCTCGAACACCTGTAACTGGTATTTTTCAATGTAAACAATATTTCTTTTTATGTTACAAATGGTCTACTTGTCGACTTTTTCCCATTTCGACCCGAAATGTTAAAGTAGGCATTACAATTAGCCGCTCCATTTTCCCTAAACTGTACGAGGCGTCAGAATTCTAAAAGATCCAATATTTGTTCGAATATAAAAATATAACTACCTATTTTATATAAATTATACAAAATAAAAGAAAATGGATAATCCTCTTTTACATTATAATGATATTATTGAAGATACTAAAGTAGTTATTTGAAATATGTATTATTTATTTGTGAATTAATTTATAAAATTTTAGCTATGGTATTCCAAAACAATTAAGTTTACAGCATTTTAAAATACGATTGGCTTCATCTAGTGATGGTTATACAAACTAAGTAATAAATTATATCGAATGAAAAAATTGCATGTAGCTATATAAAAAATACAAATCAAGCCCTAAAAAGCATGATACACTTAGAACCCTGCAAGTCTTTGGTGTCTAATGAATGGGCAGAATTGGTGAATGATGTTTTAGATATTTTATTACAGAACACAGGTATAAGAATACGGTTTATTATTCAAAAAACGTCTAACGTTCGTTGGCCTGAGCCAACTGAGTACAAACTGATCTGTACAAACTTTCAGGCGAATCGATTCGTGGCAAATTCACCCCTTCTGGACAAGGTCAATTAATATGAACGTATGAGGCAAAGCGTCAATCTAAAAATTAATAAAGTAAATTCACCCTTACCTTAAGAATGTGTCGTTCTCGTGAATTCATTTAATTGCTAGTTGGAGGGCTTGAATTTGTGACACAGTAGAAAATTCATTGGACATACTTTTTTGCAATAAGGGTAAAGCATACATATGCTTGCAAGTTCGCTTTATTCGCTCTGCACTAGCATGTATTGACCCTAACACTTCGATAGCAATTTTAATATTATTTTACTAAAATCAACATTACCAAAGAAATTATATATGTAACACATTGTACGAATGCATTATTACTACTATAGTTGCAAAATATTTATTGCACGTAACATATTATTTTTGTACTAAATTAATTTTAAAATATACGTAATATAAAACTACATACAATTACGATTAATTAATATTGACAATTATTTCACTGGAATTTGAGACAGATGTAGCACTTTTCTAAACTAATGTTGACTGAAATAATAATGCTCTATTCAAGAATTAATAAACTAAATGTCACAAAAAGCACAAATAACATTTTTATCTATGAAAACACTAGACTCTGTCTCAACTCCTCTATATTTCAAATCAATTTAACTATTAACTTTTAAGGCCCATAAAGTATATATCAGACTTATTTATAAAATAATGTAATCATATGATATTGTGCGTCAAAGTTTGTGAGCATAGAAAATATTAATGTTTTACACAGTATGAACTATAGTATTTCTATTGGTAGAGTCTTTTGTCACATTATCAAAAAAGGTGATAATATCCTCGGGAATTGGTGGGACATTTATTAGAAATTGTTGTATTGAACTATAATAATCCCTGCAAGTCCAAGTATCATCGTGCCCTCCACCAGGCAACACCACTAATTTCTTGCAGATAGCTCCACATCTCATGTACAATTCCTGGGCCATTGCTGGTGGTACCAAAGCGTCGTTTGAACCACACATTACCAAAGTGGGTGTCAATATGGAGCCAATTTTTTTTAGAGACATGTACTGTAATATAATGTGATAATTGAAATTAAAATAATGAGCAATGTGTAAAATATGGCTTTTAATGAAGAATTTAGATCTTTGTGGACAATGTTTTTATTAATCGAGAGATCCTATAATTTTCAATCTTATCTCTATTCCACCATGGGGTTTTAATGTGAGAATGAAGCAATGTAGTGATTTCAGGAAAAATTCATTATACATCAAGTACAGTTAAAGAGAAGCTGCTTGTTCCACTTGAACATAATGGTCTCTTTAATATTGGTCAAATGACTAACTACAAAGTTACACAAGTTGTCATACCTTATTCTTATGGCAAATCTGAGGAAGCCATGATAAGCACTTCCATTTGAGTATGATTTGTGCCATGTCTGGTATACTTGTAAAGGTATTCTCGACAATAAGAGCCCATATTTTGTTTCTATATTCCAATCTGGATACTAAGTCAATAGCAACTGCTCCACCTGCATCACAGAAATGTTAAATTATTATAACTTTAATTACACTGGAAATCTTAGTTCATATGACACATGATAATCAGTTCAATTATATTAAGCTTGTAATTTATACACACTTATAAAGGAGCTTGTTCTGATTCAATGACATCACCAAGAGTTTTGTTAAGTAGACACTCCCTAAAGAAGGGGTTGTTGAAAAATCAACCCCAAGGGATATAGTGAAACTTAATTTTTGGGCTTTTGATTACAAATGAGTACATACCTACATTATGGGTTGAAAATTTGTGTGGAAATCAATATGCAATAGGTGTTTAAAAGAAAATCAGCAAAACAAAAAGCAGAAAGCTAATCTATTATAGTGATACTGCTTTTACACTATATTAATTGATTTTATTTTATTCAATTATGACAAAGAAATATCAAAATTATACAAACCTAGAGAACGTCCAAATACAATTATCTTAGAGCGGTCTATATCTGACCTCTGTATTATATAATCCAATGCAGATTGTGCATCTACATATAAACCCCTCTCAGACGGAGCACCCTCTGAGAGTCCATATCCCCGATATTCTACCATTAAAATGTTCAGGTTAAGCTTGTGATAGAAACCAGACACATTTGCAAGTCTAAAAATTATAATTCATATAGCATAATAATATAAGAATATTAGGAACTTAAACAACTTTTAATACATACAATAACACTGATTATTCTAACCTCTGGCCCATGTTTCCTGCATTTCCATGGAAAAATATCAAAGTGGGTCTATGATTACTATTTGTATTTTGTTTGATGAGAAACATATGTATTTTAAACCCATCTTTATTGCTTATCTTGATGCTTTCATATGGAAGTTTGTAGTTACTAGGTTGTAAAACAAACACTCTGGAATCAGGTGGGTCATTAGGATAGTAAAGCAATAGATCCTGGGCACTATATAGTATACCTAAAAATAGGAAATTAATTTAATGACTTCATATATGAAAATTTTCAATAGCATTTAAAGAAATTTAAAAAATAAATTAAGGAGTTAGAGAACCTAATGAGTATTTATGTTAATAATTTAAATTTTAAGCAGTTAAAACTAAAATGTAGACTTTATATATTTTTCTTTTCAAAAGACAAGAGACATTATTTTAATCGGATTTAAAGAATGATTCATAATTTATCTGATACCTTACATACCTGTTATTCCTATGATAAAGATTGCAAAAGCCGTCAGAAACCCATAAAACCAAAAAACGATAACACTTGAAAATAGAGTTAATGCGGACACAACCCATAGCTTGTATAATATAATTCTAAGTATATGATACATGCCTAAATGTTAGCTTATTAGAATTTGTAACATTTTTAAAAATAATAAGGGCTAAAACAAAATCTTAAATTGTCTACCAAAACAATGCATAAAGTTATCACAATTTAATTTAAATTTCTACTTTTAATATTTTAGATGCTCAATTAATTAGCATGGTAATGTTATAGAAAATGTTTTTAATTTCCTAAAGTACATTTTCTTAAATTTAACATTCACTAGTCCGATACAATCACATCACAGACTACTACGAAGTATGAGCAGCGTTGCCAACTCTACATATCAAAAAGTCGTTAGCGTATGTTTGAGAAGTCGCTAGATGTCGCTAGCTATGGACAAAGATTAAAAGTCGCTAGAAGTCGCTAAAAGACTGAGCGCGTGCGGATAAAACAGCGTTATAGTCACGTACTTCTAATACGTGCCGTTTTACGCACGGCAGAAGAGGGCATAGTTTTTTGGTCTTTTGGTATAAAAGAAAATAATTTGTTTTACTTATAATACTATTTGTAATCGGTATAAAAAAAAATATTTAAAAATTATTAATTAAAAAAACAATTATTTAACAAATAAAAAATCAACAAATCAATACTATAATGAAATATAACAAAAAAATATATATCAGAATTTAAAAGTCAAAAATTTAATACCAAAAAAGATGAAAATGTTCCTTTATTCATTATCAGAACGATCGCTAATAATCAGATAATCTGGAATACTTAATGTATCCATTCTGGAATTGGAATTAAAACCCGACGTTGATGGCTGAAGCTGCGATGTACCTTTGGCAAACGAATATGATTTATTGGTCCCAATGTTCTTTAGCACATCAATTGGTATTTCGTAATTATAGCAGCTTTTATTAATTCTTCTTAAAGAGTATTTAATCATCAAAATAGAGTTTAATGACTTTGTGTCGACTGATACATAGCGACATCTAATTCATCGCAGTAAAATCGCCACAACAATCGATAGCGAGAAGACAAGCATCGTCACAGCCATCGATAGCAAGACGAACTGCAAGAAGTTTCAACACCAAGTAACGAGATGGCGCTGTACCAATACGAACATCATAAATTAATAACTACAAGACATTTAGAACAAAGAAACCTACATCACACAGAATAAGTTTAATTACCAATTAACATAAATAGAACGTCCAACCTACATCGGTTGGACCGCGGTCCCCGGGCTAACAACACCTAGCTCGGAGGGAGACAATTATCCTTTAGTCTCCCTGACCAGTTGTCTCTATCACCACAGTAGGAACCAACATTCAACCAATAAGGTTCCTAAAACTTCAAACACATTCTGTTTCGAAGCTTGGATTTTGTAATGTTCATGGCACTAAATATCCTTTCAATTTCAGTATTCGAATGAGGTAACGATATTACAGTAAATGCCAAATCTTTATATTGGTTTACTTTAGCCCAAAAATCTAGCGTACAATTAATGTTTTGTCTCTTAACAAAATTTATATTGTTCGACTGTATATAAATTTTTTCCAATTTTTGTACGTCATCAATGTTGACGGTTAGGGATGGAGGATAGTGAATCACGGAAACCAACCTTCAGCATATATTTCTTTATTTAACATTTAGACTCACATCGTTCAACTTAACACACACCGCACACACGAAGAAGAGCCATCTTGATCAATTTTACTCCTCTATGGTTACTTCCTTTTAGTGATGTGACATTGTTACTCCAATAATCAACCCCTAACTCTTTTGCCAAACTTATAATGTCATAATTTTGATTCATCGTTCTCAAAACTTCGCTGATGGATAATTTATTCATTTTAATCAATATTTCGATATTTGGAGGAAGCCTACTTTGCAATTTCCTTATCAACTTGACTGTAAAGTCAACGCACCTTTGTTTAATTATATTAGTGACATCTTCATTCAAATTAAGTTTTCGAGCACTACCTATTTTCAAATGCATAACCAAGCGTAGCATAGGGATTTAAGTGAATATCTTGAACTGTCGTAGTTAGTACATTTATATTTGTGTGAGGGTAAATGACTCTGTTACAAATTGATAGCAATAAAAATGTCAGTGTCTCCATCAATTTTGTGGGATCAGCATTTTCACTTTCAAATACTTTCAAAGCTGTTTGAATTTCTCCTAATTTATTTTATTTATTTAGGACAACAACAACGGAATAACAATAATTTAAGTTAAAGTAAATTACAAGATTGAAAGGCCAATTATAAGCCTTTAAAAGGCCAGCTATCCATGAAATTAACACACATAAAAATTGGGAACAGTTTTTGTATAACACAGTAAGTTTAACACAATAAAAACCTATTATGCTTGTGGTGAGGTTCAAAATAATATTTAAATATATGTACATATATGATATATAATTTAAATTATACACATAAATATATATAATACCCGACAATTTTAACATACATATAATTATGTATTATATGTACATAAATTACTTAATTAAAATATAAAAATATATATAATTAATAGTTTATGATGCTATATAATATTGATAATCTATACATTGTAATGTACTCGTACCTGGAATCGATGGCCGCTTATATTTTGTTTTAAAATTGCAGCAGTATGTAAAATCTACCCACTTATATAGAAATTTAAAAATTTAATTATGTTGTGGCATTCCGCAGGTATATCCTATAACCTATACTAAAAGAACGGAGTAAATATACTTTTTAAATGACTGCTTAGAAGTGACAAAAGGATCGACGTCTTTAAATTTTATATTATAATTTCTTAAAAGGCGTGTTAGTGTGGAATTTTGTCCATAATTAGTCGAATGAGAGGGAAATATTGGTGTATGTCTTGTACGACGCGACGGCATGCACAACGATATGCGGGAGAGGAGACTGGGGCAATCCAGACGTCCACTAACCACGACATACAATAAGCCCATATCAAGCAGTTCCCGCCTTTCTTCTAAAGTAAGGAGATTATAGATATACGAATGAGCACTTTGCTTAAATATGTAATTAAGATGTTTTATAAATTTACTTTGTATGCGTTCAAGACGATTAATGTGCAGAGCATAACAAGGTGACCATATAGGACTTGCATATTCTAAAATACATCTTACATAGGGGTAATATACAACTTTATAGCTAATTAGATTCTTAAAGGGTTGGCATGTACGCATTACGAATCCGAGACAACGGCGTACCGTTGCCTCGGATATCGCCTTATCAGCGATACTATCAATGTGGGCGGACATGGACATTTTTGAGTCAAGCATGACACCAAGGTCCCGCACTTCACAAACTCTCTTTATGACAATACCGTTAAAATTATATGAGTACTCCAAAGGGTTGGGTTTACGGCTGAAAGTTATACATTGACACTTTTCAAAGCTTACAGAAATTTTATTTTTAGTATAATAATTATATAAATTATTTAGTTCTAGTTTTAGAGCCATACAGTCTTCTGAAGATTGAATAGACATATATATTTTTTTGACATCGGCATATAATAAGTATTTGGCTCTCCGAAAACATGTATATATGTCAAATATACAGCGTGTTTGGTAATACCTGTATAATCCCGAATATGGCACATACGGTATGATGAATAGAACCCAGAAAAATGATCACTAAGACTGAAACCCAGCACATGACCTAGATATTCAGCTTTTTTTCTTCGAAGTAAAACTGTACGCTGACAACCCTAAAAACAGCTGTTGTGTTGTATTTGGTCATCGACTCCATGTGCCGAACTAGTTTAAAAAATAACAGAAGTTAAATAAATCTAAAGATAAATGCCTAGAATAAATATGCATCTGAGAGGAATTTATTATTTCCAAACAAAGAAAAAGTTAGTAGTAAATGACTTTTAACTATAAAAAAACACTAATCTTGTGATTAACGGTGTTTCAAAAACTATTAATATGAAAACTTCTGTAATAATACAGTCAAAATAAAAAAGAAATTGCAAATACTTTGATTGAAGTTCAATATCTGCACCATTGCTCACATTAGTCTATGCAAGAAAGAGCGAGAGAGACATAAAATCGACGACGATGTGTATTGAGAAACTCGGGTTTCTGATGTGTCAGTAAGGTTCTGTAGATTATTTGCTTTGAAGTTTTGTTATTTTTTTCATAAAGCCGTGTTATTTTCACGAAACAATAAAATACGGACTTATACAATGATATTAATAATCTAAGTATCTCTCTTATTCTTAGTTTAAATGATAATTAAATAAAGGTTAGTTGTAATGGAAAGGTCTAATAATAAATAATATTTCTTGACGCGGAACCCCAAAATCGGTACACTTTTGATTTAGGTACATTGGTGTTCGAGTTGCAATAATAATAACCTATGTAGTTTTGGTCATCGCGTCAGTCGCGTCCGTGACTTTCATCGGCGTACTTGTGAGTTTTCAGAATTTAGAAGGTCAACTTACGTTTTCGTTCTTTCGGGACTTTTAGTTTGTTTTTCATTCTCGTTCTGTTTACCTGTGTATTATGTTTGTGTGCGGTCAGTGCAATGAATTCGTACTCAAATGCCTAATATTACGAGATGATAATGTGTGGCGGTGCTTGTGACGGTAATCTTGCTGCGGCTCGGCGGCGTTATTACGAGCGCCACGTGTCAGGAAGACCTGAAAACCATCGACGTCTTCCTTCTTACCGGTGATTCGCGGCATTTGTGAATTGGTTACATACAACTGGTTCATTCCATAGTGTACCACAGGTAGGCCGGCCGATCACCTATGTGTCTATCACGGTCTGTGTCGAGTCGAATGGAGATGTGTGTTTTATGCGGTGGCCGGCATATCGAGACCCTGGACTGATAAAGTGGAGGTGAAGTGTAGGTAATGTTGACAAGTGAAAGCTGAAAGAGTGATTAGAACGCTATAGGTATGTACCTATTTAATCTTAAATTGTTTTAATTACAAGTAAACTCATACGTAGTCGAGTGCGCGCGTCGGCAACATCAAAATGTATTCAAGGAAACGAGAGAGTGAGAGGTAATGAGAGAGAGAGAGAGAGAAAGAGCGAGTGCGCCGGGACGGCACGTGTAAGCTTACAGGGTTGTAGCATAGTAATTGAAAACAAATTGTTCAAATATGTGTATGAAAATATCAATTTACATGAAATTGTTTTTTGACCTATCAATTGTGTTCTTTGTGCTAGGTTGTATGGCCATGTTTCGGGATTATACAGGTATTACCAAACACGCTGCATAAGCGTTGTAAAATAAAGGACCCAAGTGCGAGCCCTGAGGCACACCAGATGGTATGGACACATAATCAGATCTATGTCCGCCCAATGTAACCGCCTGTGAACGATTTGTGAGATAAGATGTTATCCAACGAAGCAAGTCACCATGAATACCAAGCGCAAATAGTTTGTGCAGTAGTAAAATGTTGTCAACACGGTCAAATGCCTTTTCGAAGTCTGTGTAGATAACATCCACCTGGCCTCCCTTCTCCATGTTGCAGATGACAAAATCCGTAAAACAAGCTAGATTTGAGATCGTGGAGCGACCCCTCAAAAAACCAAGTTGTCCATCAGATATACCATTTGACACCAAAGGGTAAATACTATTGTAAACCATTTTCTCAAATAGTTTTGCTAGAGTATTAAGTATCAATATAATATAATATAATATAATATAATATAATATAATAAATAT